CCAGGCCTTCTCGTCTGACATCAGTGACTGACCTCACAAATGCACTTCTGGAAGAATGGTCAAACCTTCCCATAGACAAACTCCTAAACCTTGTGGACATCCTTCCCAGAAGAGTTGAAGCTGTTATAGCTACAAAGGTGGGCCAACTCAATCTTGAACCCTACGGACTAAGACTGGGATTCCATTAAAATTCATGTGCTTGTTAAGGCAGACGTCCCAATAATAATAAGTTTACACTTACTGAGATTTTTTTTTTTTTTACCGAAGGCATGTAGCAGAATACATTTTGGTCTAAATTTATGCTGAAAATTGAGTTTTTTGGATATTTTTTATAACAGAAAGTAGAAAATATATTTTTTTTTTCCAAATATTCAGTCTTTTTTCATTTATATCGAAAAAAAAATAAAAAAACCCAGTGCTTATCAAATACTACAAAAAGCAAAGCTCTATTTATGCAAAACAAATTATATAAATTTTGTTTGGGTACAGTGTTGCATAGCTGCGCAATTGCCAGTTAATGTAATGCAGCACCATAAAGCAAAAAATGGCCTGGTCATGAAGGAGGTAAATCTTCCGGAGTGAAAGTGGATATAAGATCTATGTCCTGATTCAAATAATTTAATAAAGAATATTTATGATTGTCCTAAATGAAAAAAAAATAATGTGTTTATAATATCATAGAACATGATTCTAATCATGCAAATTGTCCCAACATGAAATAAAATGATATTGATCTATTAGAAAGTGAATGTAAGTGTGAATATCATCGTGGACATTGTTGTTATAATGTTGTAAGCAGGGGAGGATTGACAACTCATGGGGCCCCCTGGGCAATAGGGGATCATGGGGCCCCTGTGTCCTTGACCACACTCAAATCACACCCAAAAAAGCCTATAAAAGGTACCAGGGGCATTTCATGGGGCCCCCTACTGACCCTGGGCCCTCGGGCAGTGCCCGAGTGCTCGAATGGTCAGTCCGCCCCTGGTTGTAACAATGTATCAGTGTCTATGATCTCCATGTGGATGCCTAAATAACCATGAAACAAAGTTTTTTTGAAGAACTACTGGAAATAATTCATGTGTGTTAGCCCATATAGCGCCCATATATTATAAGCAGTATTATATGTATTGACAATGAAGTGGCGAAGATTTAGGATATCAGTTTCTCATTAGATTACATGGGGTTAATATTATTATGGGGCAGGTTGCTCTATATAGGAGGTTCTTTTAATGGTGGCATAGACTTGATAAAGGGGGACACACCCCTGAAAACATTGATATGACCACCTAGACACATGCTGTGTCTTCTCCTGCAGGCCAGCATTTCTGTCTTCCCAGTATGTGCTGGCTAAGATTCCCTATATCCATGGTTATTGCTCTAATTAGCAGTGTGGCTCCCCATGCCCCGCTCTCCAGAGGAGTACTGGGGATTTCTTCCGAGGGGTTCAACATTGGTGGCAGTACACCCAGTTTGTATACATAGAGCAGAGACAAGTGCTTTGAGGGTTTGTCCCTCTGCTGCTCGATCTATCCATTCTGGAGTGTCTCTCTACCATATGAAGCCAGAACACCTTCTCAGTCTGCGTAACCAGGGCCGTGGATAAGGGGGTACCACCAGTCCTCCTGTACGGGGGCCCAGGCCAGCAGGGGGGCCCAGGTAGCTGGGTGAATCGGATGTGAGAAGAGAGGGTGATCAGCACGGCTGGGGGAAATTAATGGAACAGATCCCCTTTATGGCTCTCTGCAGCAGCTGAAAGCTGGCTTCTTCTCCTCTCCCTCCCTCTGGCTTTCAGCTGCTGCAGAGAGAGCCATACAGGGGATCGGTTCCAGTAACTGCCCCCATGCTGCACCCATCACCCTCCCTGTACACCATACATTTCCCCCTGCTGCCTATGCCCCCCTGTGTGCCCCCACCCTGCAATGCTGCCAGCTTCCCACCTCTCCTTCTCACCGGCAGCTGCAAGCACACAATAGGATCCTTCAGGATGGAGAGTAGAGAAAAGGTACGGTAAAGTATGTCACATTTATCAGCCCCTTCCTTCCGTGAATGAACATAGTTAATGATCGGTGCCTATCACTCACTATGTTCATTCATAACTGAAGCATAGTAAACTGTGTACTATTTTTTTTAGGTGGGAGGGGCCCTGTCAGGTTGGCTGTATGGGGCCCTTTGGTTTCTATCAGCAGCCCTGTGTGTATCATCGCTGAACTGCCTATGTTACTTCTTTTAAATGTGAGTGCAATATATTTTTTCTAATTTAGCTTCAATTCATAAAAGGATTTACCTGCACAAGAGTCTGCGCTTCCCTTTCTCATATTGTATTTTTAGTCATTCCTCATTCTCAGGAATATTGAAAGCTGTGAAGCCTTTGAGCTGGGACACTTAGGCTGGTTTATTCCATGCCATATGCCCATATACCTGTACATCATGATGGTTTGGACACACAGTGGGACATATTGTGGGACTTTGTCTTAGCGCAGCACTATTTTGTTTTTGTGTTTGCATTTACTTTTTTTTCTTCTGATCCTTGCTAACAAGGTTTGACTGTTTATTGCCCTGGGCTAGCAGTTTCTGGATCTTGACTTCAGTACAAGCAATTTAAATTTGGCAGTAAAATCCACCCAATACTGGACTTAAAATCTCTAAACAGAGTTCTTTGTGTACCAAAATTCCAGATGGAATCAACAAAATCTGTCATTGATTCTCTCAGGCATTTCTGGCATCAGTAGACGTGTAAGATGCTTATTTACACATCCAAAAACAAGTTTTCCCAGCACACTAACCAGCTAAACTGCGAAAAAAATGGCACTGTCTAACAATTTAGGTTAAAAGCAGAGGTTTTATTTGCACTTTTTTGCAAACACATGTGGGAGACGCACTCACCAAGGCTCCTCTGTAAAGTGTGGTCCTAACCAGGGGCGGACTGACCATGTGGAAACTCGGGCGCTGCCCGAGGGACCGGGGTCAGTAGGGGGCACCATGAGATGCCCCTGGTACCTTTTTCATAGGCTTTTTTGAGTTTGGGCAAGGACACAGGGGCCCCATGATCCCCTATTGCCCGGGGGCCCCATGAGTTGTCAGTCCGCCCCTGGTCCTAACCTATGTTATGAGTTAAAGCATATATAGCAGGGAATAAATAAAAGACTGGTATACCTGGAGGGAGCCAATTCTTCCTTAACCACTTCCCGTCTGGCCCATGTACATAAAAGGCCAGATGGGAGCGCTGCCAAAGCGGGTTGCCATTTATAAATGGCCCCCACATTCACTGCCTGTGTGCACTCCCTGGGCTCCCTCCGGACACAGTGGAAAATTGATTGCTGTATGGGACCTCTGTGTGAGGTCCTGATCATGTGATCACTGATTGGCCAATCAGTGATCACATGAATAGTAGTAAGCAAGATGTCACTTCCTTACATCATTGCTTACTACTAGTGAAATCTGTGAATGATCACAAAGGTCACATGGTGCAAGGCTATTCACAACAGCCTTGTACCATGTGACACACTGTGACCAATCACAGCTCTCACAGTATTTCTCAATGGCTGCAGGAATGCAGCCAGAGAGAAGGAGAAATTATTGCTTTTACAGCCTTTATGGGTGTAAAAGCAATCAGTGTAAAAAAAAGAAAAAAAAAATCTTCATCAACCCCCACAAGTAATACAGTGTCACTATGGTGACACTGTACTGCTAGGGTGATGGTATGTAAAAAAACAAAACATAAATAATAATATATAAAAAAAAAAGAAAAATGTAAAAAAAAAATGAAAAATTATAATTTTTGGTTATAAACTAATTTGGGTTATTTTTTTTTTTTTTTTTTCTAAAAAGATAGCTGAATACATTTTGGCCAAGATTTATGAAGAAAGATTATTTGTTTGTAAGATTTTATAAGAAAAACACTTTTTTTTTGGCAAAAAAATAAATTTCCAGTGGTGAACAAATACCACCAAAATAAAGTTTTATCCGTCTCAAAAACAATTGAGTACTGACGTGATACTTTTTTTATTTGCACTAACATACAATTTTGAGGACAAGCTTTCGGGGGATGTCCCCTTCTTCAAGGTCCAAGCAGTACTCAAGTACCCCGAAAGCTTGTCCTCTAAATTGTATGTTAGCGCAAATAAAAAAAGGATCACGACAGTACTCAATTGTTTCTGTCACAAATGCACTAATACGGCTACAATCACCTCAATCCGTCTCAAAAAATGCTAAAAAATGAATATGTTGCATGACCGTGCAATTGTCATTCAAAGTGTGACAGCGCTGAAAGCTGAAAATTGGCCTGGACAGGAAGGGGGTGAAAGTGTCCGGACTGGAAGTGGTTAAAGGTGAAAGGGCACATTAGAAGCCCAGCAAGAGCACAATTGCAGCTGAAAACGTCCAATGTGTCCCCACATCAAATTCAGAATGCAAACTATACAAGGATGACAACCAGCTCAATTTAAAACTAGCTTCTCAAGTAAGGAGCACAATACAAAAACAGACCATTTCCCAGCATACATACCAGCCAGCCTGCAAAGAAAACAAACTGGCACTGTCAAACAATTTACATTAAATACACATTTACACATCCCCATCTTCTCCCCGTATTAACACTTTCTGCATATTGCTATGGGAGACCAGCATTCCCATTCTCGCTCTCCTCTGCATCCTGATTGTTCACAAAAGTGTTTGCCCCATTCTGGATCTTCTGTGAACCAAGGGTGTTCACATCACAAGCTACCTGGGTCTAATATTGGGCACAGCCCAAGCCTTTATCTTCTTTTCTTAGGAGGAAGGCACTTCCCTAAGGTCCAACATGCCAGCTTCCTACTTTAGGCTAGGTTCACACCTATGCAGGTTACGTTTCAGCCATTTTTTCACTGCATATTTGCCTTGTTTTTGATGTGTTTTGCGTTTTTTTTTTTCATTTTTAAATTTTTCTTGTTGCTAGACAGATTTGAAACACAAAACGCATCAAAAACGCAACAAAAAAAGTCCCTGACCAGGGGCGGACTGACCATTTGGAAACTCGGGGTCAGTAGGGGGCCCCATGAGATGCCCCTGGTACTTTTTCATAGGCTTTTTTGAGTTTGGGCAAGGAAACAGGGGCCCCATGATCCCCTATTGCCCGGGGGCCCCATGAGTTGTCAGTCCGCCCCTGTCCCTGACCCTTTCCAAAAAACGCTCCAGGTGAAGACACACAGGTGTGAACGTGTCCCATAGGAAATCATGTTAAATGAACTGTACTGCGTTTCTGCAAAACGCTGCAGAAGACGCTTAGGTATGACATCCCTACCAGACAACATATGCACACCTCCCAACATTCTGAGATGGCAAAGTGGGGGACACCATAAAATTATGTAATCAAAGGACACAACCCCGTTACATGGAGAATAAATGTCATATTACACAAATGCGCATAAAGGTTGCGTATCTGGTGAGTGCGCAGTCTATATCCTATTTCTCTCACCTCATCCACAAATTGTGTCATTGGACGTCAGAAGATCATCTGAGATCTTGCTCACATTTTCACCTTGGACTTACTTTTGTTTGATATAGTGCACTTCTCTCACGATATCAGCCACATATCCTAGTGGCATATATATATAAGTGCACAGTGTCACTTTACTATATCTATTCATTCATATATGTGTATGATTTTACTCATTTGTAATTTTACTAGCGCTGCACCTTTTTTTATGTTACTGTTCATTTGGAGGTCTTATACGGTGCCTTTGGTGTACAGCTGCTGTCATTATAACAATATACTATTATTGTAAGCTCTCACTTATCTTTATATTTTTAGCTTATAAAATGTTAGCTGGAGTTTTGCTTCAATTTGTCAGTATATCTAAATCTGCTAATACATCTTATACTCCCTTTGCCCTCAGATTGACAATGCTGTCGTCCAAAGGTACCCCTGTGCTCCTTCATCCAGAGTGTAGTCACTCTAAAACAGGAGGTGTGTTACTGGCCAGATCAACAGCTAAAAAGAAGCCTAGAAAAGAAAACTAATGCAGCCAACACATCTAATGATTGATAAGCTGCAATATATTTTATTTTGGGTTTTGGTTTAATACTGCTGTAACCACTAGCCTACAGGGCACTTATACCCCCTTCCTGTCCAGGCCAATTTTCAGCTTTCAGTGCTGTCACACTTTGACTGACAATTGCGCGGTCATGCAACACTGTATCCATATGAAAGTGCTATCATTTTTTCACACAAATAGAGCTTTCTTTTGGTGGTATGTACTTGCCGCTGGGTGTTTTATTTTTTCTGCTATAAACAAAAAAAGAGCAAATATTTAAAAAAAAATGTTTTTCTTTGTTTCTATTATAAAATTTAGTAAACAGGTAATTTTTCTTCTTCACTGATGTGCGTTGATGAGGCTGCACTGATAGGCACTGATAAGTAGCACTGATGGGCACTGATAGGCAGCACTGATGGGCACTGACAGGCTGCACTGATGAGGTGGCACTGATGAGCTGGCACTGATATGCAACAATGATGGGAACTGATAGGCGGCACTGATGGGCACTGATAGGCAGCACTGATGGGTGGCACTGACTAATGGCACTGACTGGTGGCACTGCTGAGCACTGACTGGAGCACTGCTGGGCACTGATGAGTGACGCTGATGGTTGGCAATGCTGGGCACTGATGGGTGGCACTGCTGGGCACTGATGGGCACAGGTGAGTGGCACTGATGGGCACAGGTGAGTGGCACTGATGGGCACAGGTGGGTGGCACTGATGGGCACAGGTGGGTGGCACTGATGGGCACAGGTGGGTGGCACTGCAGGGCACTTGTGGGCGGCACTGCTGGGCACAGATGAGCGGCACGGCTGGGCACCGATCATCAGTGCCCTGATGATCGGTGCCGATCCCTCCTCTGACAATTGCTGGTTATCAGCAGTCATTTCCTTACGCTGTGACAGCGTGAGGACAGTGCAGCCGATAACCGGCAACTGCATTTACCAGTGATCTGCTGTGTCATTGGTAAAAGGCCGCTGTGATTGGCCTTTCACCACTTCACATGATCAGCTGTGTCCGTAGGACACAGCAATCACAAAGATCGCCGGGGGCGCGGGAGGGCGCATTCTAGGAGGGCGACATATGAAGCCGTCATTCAGCTATCTGCGGTTGGTAAGTGGTTAATATAAGATGGTAAGTTCACAGCTCATGTTATAAATTCCTTCCTCTGGTGCTCAAACGTGTCATTCAGCTAACCAACTCTACAGCTGGCCATAGACAGCTCAAACCTTAGCCAATACCTGCTTAATCAGCTACAATTTCCGCTGTGGGTGACCCCATAAGATCCAACTGTGACAGACGCGATGTCAGACCCCGGCCACCTTCACCAACTTGTGACAAACGGCTGGTCAGACTGACTCCACACTGTCAATCCACCCAACTTGACAAAAGTTGATTTAAAAATTGTCAGAGCCAGGTTGAAAATCATCAGCAGAATAGTGGCGGTATCTGGGGTGGAATGACAACTCATGGGGCCCCCAGGCAAGAGGGGATCATGGGGCCCCTGTGTCCTGGCCCACACTCAAAAAAGCCTATAAAAAGGTACCAGGGGCATCTCATGGGGCCCCCTACTGACCCCGGGCCCTCGGGCAGTGCCCGAATGGTCAGTCCACCCCTGGGCGGTATCCTATCAGATGCAGTCACACTGTTTGGGTATTCAGGCAGCCACAAGTGTCTTGTGTTGAATCCAATAGCTGGCAGCGGAGTTTCCTCCATACCCATATTCATTCCATGGGCCGAAGATGAAAAATCTAGCCACGTATGGCTATCATTAATGAATGCAGGGTAATTTGTGAAAATGTAATAGCAAATTTGTTGCAGACATTTGTAAATCTTTGACAGTTGGCTACCCAGGACTGGAGGCACAGGGACACAAACACACATAGATATCATTTCTGCATGCAATAAAGCCTGACTTGCAGTAATTATGTGCCTGACTCTGTCAGAAACTCGCTTGATAAATACCCCTCTGAGTCTGTTGAATCGCTGTGTTCTGAGATTCTTTACATAACTGACATACATTTATCGCACAAAATACAGACAGTTGCTCATTTGGGTCGCCCCCACTAGCATTCTGACTGGCACAAGGAAAGCTTAATTATGTGTACTTTATGCAAACAAAGCATTAATGAACCAGATGGTTCTATTTTAGTGATTATTTAGTTGAATTCATAAGGAAGCAGAATTAAGAAAGCAACAGTTCTGCATAAAAACTTTAAGTTCAACTTAAAGAAAAAGTTCATTTTAAAGTGTAAGCATAATCAAGGGGCTTATTACAGTTTAAATACCTGCCAAAAAATGTTGTTGTTTTTTTAGCCAGCTTCCTGCTTTAAGCTAGGTTCACACCCAGGGGCGGACTGGGAATAACCCTGAACAATCGTGTATGACCATTCTAGAGATAGATGGTCATTGATTAGTGGTGAGTGTCAGTCCATGTGGGGCACTTTTGTCAAGCACAGTGGAACACTTTTTGGAAGATATCATACTGAGCACCAGCACCAGTACTGGGTTTATATATTTTTTGGAACTTTAATGTGTACATGTTTATGTTATTTACTATTATTTTATTAATTAAAATTTTTTTGGAACTTTGATGTCCACATGTTTATGTTATTTACTATTATTTTATTAATTTAAAATTTTTTGGAACTTTAATGTGCACATGTTTATGTTATTTACTATTACTATTATTTTATTAATTTTACATTTTTGGATCTTTAATGTGTACATGTTTATGTTATTTACTTTTACTCTTATTTTATTAATTTTACATTTTTGGATCTTTAATGTGTACATGTTTATGTTATTTACTTTTACTCTTATTTTATTAATTTTACATTTTTGGAACTTTAATGTGTACATGTTTATGTTATTTACTATTACTCTTATTTTATTAATTTTACATTTTTGGAACTTTAATGTGTACATGTTTATGTTATTTACTATTACTATTATTTTATTAATTTTACATTTTTGGAACTTTAATGTGTACATGTTTATGTTATTTACTATTACTATTATTTTATTAATTTTACATTTTTTGGGACTTTAATGTGTACATGTTTATGTTATTTACTATTACTATTATTTTAATAATTTTACATTTTTTGGGACTTTAATGTGCACGTTTATGCTATTTACTATTACTATTATTTTATTAATTTTACATTTTTGGAACTTTAATGTGTACATGTTTATGTTATTTACTATTACTATTATTTTATTAATTTTACATTTTTGGAGCTTTAATGTGTACATGTTTATGTTATTTACTATTACTATTATTTTATTAATTTTACATTTTTTGGGACTTTAATGTGTACATGTTTATGTTATTTACTATTACTATTATTTTATTTTTAATTATGCACGGTCTCATTGTTTTTTATATTATCATTTTCTTGTGTTCATTTACACAAGTGGAGGACTGCAGCAATAGGTTTATTTGGATACCACTTACACTTTTGTCAAGCAAAGTGGAACACTTTTTTGAAGATATCATATTATTATTATTTTTTTTATTATTATTATTATACAGTATTTATAAAGCACCAATAGTTCGCTCAGCGATGTACATTACAAACGGGGACAGAACATGTGACAGAACAATACCAATACAATGCAAAACATGAGGGGATTGAGGGCCCTGCTCTTTCGAGTTTACAATCTATTGATGAATACTTGGCCAGCATAAAAGAGCTTGTACGATAACTATATGATCAGACTGTAACATACGTGGAAATGAATCCTGTATTTCACCACTGCCCCTTGGTGTTTTATTATAGATAGTACTGACTTTTGAAAGCCTTCTAGAAAACAACAAATGTAATCCCATAATTGACACATCTCCTTCCATCTCTCTAGTCCATGTAGTTCTTTGGAACAGCAATTAGAGAGAGACCATCCACAAGTGAGTACCTACTGATGGGTTGTCTTATTGGCAAAACCATAAAGCTAAGCATCCACAGTGTCATAGAAGGTCCTTGTGTTAAATGTGTGTTTCCTAAATGAAGATTGACTTAAAGAAATAATGAAAAAGGATATAGCAAATTAGATGATGAGCATTTAATGTTAGAAAATTAAAGTTATATTGACCAAAAGCCCCAGT